GTGAGCTGTGAGTGAGCTGTGTGTGAGCTGTGTGTGAGCTGTGAGTGAGCTGTGAGTGAGCTGTGAGTGAGCTGTGAGTGAGCTGTGCACGGCCGGCAGGGACAGGAATGTCCCTTAGGAAGGGTTTGGGGCAGGAATGAGAATATCCCTTAGGATGGGGTCATTTGGGGCAGGGACAGGAATGTCCCTTAGGATGGGTTTGGGGCAGGGATGGGAATGTCCCTTAGGAAGGGTTTAGGACAGGAATGTCCCTTAGGATGAGGTCATTTGGGGCAGGGACAGGAATGTCCCTTAGGATGGGTTTGGGGCAGGGACAGGAATATCCCCTGGGATGGATTTCTTTGGGGCATCCTCCATTTTCTGGGATAATGTTTGTGACTGTCATGGCCTGTCCTGCCCAGGGAAGGCTGGAGCTTCTCCCCTTGAGTCTCCCTTATTCTGTAAACCCCGCAAGGAGTTCCTACAGCCCCACAAAGTTTTATTTTACTGACAGGAAATCAGGGGGTGAGAAAAGGGAGCTGTGGGCAGAGCTGAGCTCGGGACATCCCTCAGAGCCCGACCCCTCAGTGCTGCAGCCCCCAGGATGGTGCCACTCTCAGTGTCCCCCAGTGCCACCAACACGCCCTGGCCAGGGCACCATGGAGGAACCTCAGCCCTTCTTGGACCCCTCAAACCCAGGATTTGGGAATGCTGCAGGAATTCTCGGGCTGGAATCACCTCAGGGATTCACCCAGGACAAATCTCCTTCCTCCACCTGGTCCCTGTTGCTCCGTGGGCTGGTGCTGGAGCTGATGGAGCTGTTGGAGGGTGGAATTTTTTGGGATCMTGTTCCATTTTTCCTTTTCCTTGCCCCCATCAGCCTGCCCTGAGCTGTGCTTTGCCCCGACATAAAGAATTGTCTATATTTGTGCTTTTTGTAGGAACTTAGCCATTGGGATTGGGATCCAGAACTTYCCAGAAGGGCTGGCTGTCAGCCTCCCCCTGCGCGGCGCGGGTTTCTCCACSTGGAAAGCGTTCTGGTGAGCTCTGCCCCCTTCTCTGGGAAAAACACCCTGCCCTGGCACCTCCTGCCCCCCCAGTGCCCCGTCCATGGTGCTGCTCCCTCACAGCCCTGCCCTCTGTTCCCTCTGCAGTCGTGGGGAAATGGTGCTGTGAGTCCCAAATCCCCGGGGATCCATCCCTGATCCCAAATCCATCCCTGATCCCATATCCATCCCTGATCCCAAATCCCCGGGGATCCATCCCTGATCCCATATCCATCCCTGATCCCCACAGCTCCTGAATCCCCAGGGATCCATCCCTGATCCCACATCCCAGGGATCCATCCCCGATCCCATATCCATCCCTGATCCCATATCCATCCCTGATCCCATATCCCCAGGGACTCATCCCTGATCCCCACAGCTCTTGAATGCTCACAGATCCATCAGTGGGTCTGCAGGGGTTCTCAGTGGGTCTGTAGGGTTCTCAGTGACTCTACAGGGTTCTCAGCAGGTCTGTAGGGTTTCCCAGTGGCTCTGTAGGGGTTCTCAGAGGGTCTGTAGGGTTCTCAGTGGCTCTTCTCAGTAGGTTCTCAGTGGGTTCTCAGTGGGTCTCAGTGGCTCTGTAGGGTTCTCAGTGGATCAATAGGGTTCTCAGTGGCTCTGTAGTGTTTCTCACTGGCTCTGTAGGGTTTCTCAGTGGCTCTGTAGGGTTCTCAGTGGCTCTGCAGGGTTTCTCAGTGACTCTGCAGGGTTTCTCAGTGGCTCTGCAGGGTTTCTCAGTGACTCTGCAGGGTTCTCAGTGGCTCTGTAGTGTTTCCCAGTGGCTCTGTAGGGTTTCTCAGCAGCTCTGTAGGGTTTCTCAGTGGCTCTGCTCGGCAGGTACGGGCAGCTGAGCGGGATGGTGGAGCCTCTGGCCGGTCTGTGGGGTGCCTTTGCCGTGGTGCTGGCGGAGCCGCTGCTGCCCTACGCGCTGGGCTTTGCTGCTGGAGCCATGGTGTACGTGGTGATGGACGACATCATCCCCGAGGCACAGACCAGGTCAGACCCCGGGGACTCGGGAATGGCCCTTCCCTGGCCATATAGGGCTTTGAGAATGTCCCTTCCCTGGCCATATAGGGCTTTGAAAATGTCCCTTCCCTGGCCA